ACTTCCTTAACATGTGATGTTTACTAAGTTCGTGTACATTCCACACTTCCTTAACATGTGATGTTTACTAAGTTCGTGTACATTCCACACTTCCTTAACATGTGATGTTTACTAAGTTCGTGTACGTTCTACACTTCCTTCACATGTGATGTTTACTAAGTTCGTGTACTTTCTACACTTCCTTCACATGTGATGTTTACTAAGTTCGTGTACGTTCCATACTTCTTTAACATGTGATGTTTACTAAGTGCTTGTTTATTCTCTAAAATTCATTTGCAGAAATCAATTAGATCTGAAATAATGGCAAATGGTGATTACTAAAAACATACAAATTAATAACTCAAGGTCTTCTACTCATTTGGCAGTGGTTGGCTTGGCACCTGGAAATGTTTATTTTAACTTAGTTGCACTGCAAATAATTTCACAAGCTGTTTGTCTTTAGTAAAGTAATTATAGAGACTGCAGTTACCCAAGTCAAAAACACTGTACAAGAATGTCAGTTTTTCATAGTTTCTGCATGGCTCATGCAGTACAACTCTTTCTTTGCACCATTACCAACACCATTTGTTTTCTACATGTTTATCAGTTAGTTGCATATCATATCAACAATTCATGGATAATGGCAGATCCAATATCCACACTTTATTACTTCAGCAAAATTACATGTTGAGGCATGCCCAGACTAACTGTCTGACATAGGTACAGAAAGAGTAAGCATATCTCTATCAATTAAATGTTTATCGTCTCCATGATTCAAGAGTAACAGCACATCAATACAGCAACATTTTGGGTAGAGGCCTGTGTAGGCTAACTGATAGCAACATAGCAAACAAAAATGTGTGAGCATAAAAAACCTCAATACCATACTAAACAGAAATGAAATTATTTTTGCCATTTGGCAGCCCAATATGAAAATACAAAGAAAAATGGTTTAACATCCTCAATATGCATATTAACATCATGTAACGAGAAAAGAATTACGATATATATTATTTTGACTTGAGTGTTACTAATCAATTTAGTTATTTATTGAAATCTGGTGGCAGCATTCATTTACATTTTTGAGCAAAAATATACTTATAGCATGAAACATGTTATGAATAACAACACTGGTACACATATATATATTTCAATTTTACATAATGGTTACAACAGTAGTAACTAGAACTTCAACAACTAACATATAGTATAATAACTTTGATAGAAACATCTCAGTTAGATAAGTTTATAGTGATATATTTTCTAAAGAATGCTAATTATATATTACTATTTCAAAAGTACAAAACATACTCACCCAGATGTAAGTAGCACTTCTCTCTTTATTAGTATTAGTACAATATTTCTCAGAATTAAAAAAAAATCACAATCCTAAGATCACCAAACATAAAGACTTGGTTCAGGTCTTATCTCTTCATTATAATTTTTTTAACATTATGATTAAAACTTGTATATTTCAACAGACATTCTAGAATTCAACCCTGAACTAATGACAAAGTAAACATTTTCATTCATTTTATTAGATTTAGATAAGTTCATTCCAAGTAAAAAATTTTCTGAGAAATAAAAATAAAATGAAACAGGCCTTTGAAAGCCAAAGAAATAAGTAATAAAAAACTATTAGCTCTAGAGCAGTTCTATAAAATATTGTTAATGTTCTTCAAATACTAAATTTTAGTATTTCAAGAATACTAAAAGCATGCAAATAACACAATATTAGAATTTATTTCCAGTTTATGAATATCCATAATTTGTGCAAAAATGTACAAGCATCACACCAAATGGAGGGTACATAGATAATGTTATGAAAATCGAAAATGTCAGTTACAGTTACTTTGTAATGCACCTTTTGCCACCAGAGGGTTGTTCAAGTATAAAGATGCTGGATGCTTACACTTCTTCAGTACTCACAGCAGAAGGATGTGTTAAGAATGTCAAAGCTAATACTTGCTACAAAACAAAATTAGTTTTGTAGCAAAACTGGACATAACAACTGCAACAGTTACTGTTTTTCGGCAAGCATCCTGCTCCCAGAAATGTGGAATTCCAAAATTAATGATAACTAAATTAGTGGAATGATTCCTTTAGACCAGAAGCATCATATCTCACATTACTGAGCAACCTCCTGGTGGCTAAACACTGCATTCCAGAGCTTTTCATCATGGACATTTTCCCTTTCCATATCACCCTTCATGAACCTCTCAGTTTTTTCAATGCACCAATAACATTTCCAAAAATTATGAATTACACTGTACAATGCAATATTTTCTATCTGTAGATTTTGTTCACAAGTTACCATGAGTCTTGTGTATGTGTTTAGAACAGCTAGTAAATTATTTCAAATAAAAACTTACTGAAAAAATGTTTTAAGTTGTATATAATGTATAATAGTTAGTCAGTTTGTACAAGATGTATGGGGATATTTGCTTTGGTAAACTATTACAAAAAACACTTACAAGCCAATTCCCATATTATTGCCCAAATAATTGATTACAATTACAGAGATATGTGCATATAAATAATTTGTTTTTTAATTATGAGTCTTTCCAATATTGCATATATAGATTTTATACGCTTGAGTACTGAAAAACGTAATATGTTTAAACAAACAGATGTTACATTCAAGTATTATATTAACTTGTGTAACCATGCACGCTTTGCAAAGTTGGTAGTTTATAAGAAGATGAAAACCGAGAAAATCAGTTAATTTAGCAACAAATACTACCACTACAGGGTATTAATGTTAGTTCACCAACAGTGCTGAGAAGAAGATAAAAGTATTTAAAAACAGCTCACAAGTCTATATACAAACAAGCCACCAGATGAGTGAGGAAGTACTACAAACACCAGATAATACAATCAGCCACTACCAAACAAAATCAGGCAAAAAATCCAAACAATCTGTAACCCACTCACCCTCCTGGATATAAGTCTTCCCTGCAAAAAAATACATTCTCATATAAACATCAGTCTGAGAGTAGCTTCCATGCTTTCTGTAAAACTGTTTAAAGACTTAAGACTATTAAAAAGTAACAACAAAAATCAATAGCAGTAGCTAACCCTCCACTTATCACTCCCTATCTCTTAGCAACTAGCTACAAGCTTACTTACAGCAAATGAGCAGCTTAGTATTACTCAAAAAAGAATTCAGTATTAAGAAATGGTCATAATGATAATAATTTTAAATTATTGTGACCAATGAATAATTTTCTGAGCAAGTAAATGCATAAAAAGTTGAGTTATCAAATGGTATTGCCTGTTGTTGAATGTGATACAAATATATATGAAAATTTGGGGCTATAACCTCTTCACTTCTTAGTCAGTCAGCTTCATACTCTGGCTACACTTTATCACAATTCATCTAGTTTCAGTCCAATTTCACAAAAGATAAAACCAGAAGAAATGTTACAAATATTGTCTAACTTTAGACCAGTGTACATTGCAAAAAAAAATTGGCTTATCTTTTAGAAAAAGCATCATCTGGTATGTTTAGTTTTATTAGTTGTTAAGATTTGTGTAGTTTCTTTTAAAATTCAGTAAATGAAAAATCAAGCAATTCCTGAAAGTAACCATTAATAATGCCTTGAAATACTTGGATAATTCTGGAAGTTATATCTAAAATCCAAGTTGCATTTCAATACATCAAAATGAAAAATTTACCTTTCTAAATACCAAGCAGAAAGAAAATGAAAATAAACTGTAGGTCAATGGTTAAAATAATTAAGCTCTGTAATAACTCAATAATAATATCTTACCTTAAACACAATATTTTGTTTATACATAACAATTCTATTCAAAAACAACTCTCAAAACTGGTAACGTAGGTTGTACATCTTATATGCTTATTATACATCTTTGTAATGCCACAGGCTTTTTATTTATTTTTCATGTGAATGCAGATGATGATGGCAAAGGAATGTCAAAAACAATATGATACACTTGTCATCTACCTAAAACTCTTCAACATGATCTGTCTTTAATATAATCCATGCAAGTTAAATACAAGTGATCTGCATGTAAAAGTATGTATTCAAATGTTTGATGAATCTGTAGAGAAACAATTGTATATATATCATACAAATCTTTTAGAAATGATTTCTAATGGATATCAAGCTTGCATGTGTTTCTTCAACCACAATAGCACACTTTTTAAGTCCTGGTAAAACTTTGCAGACCAATATCCAAAAAAAAAAAAAAAAAAAAAGCATTAACTTTAATCACAGTTGCTATACATTAACAATGATGATAAAGACAGAAATACAAGAATAAAATTTCACACTTTATGCAGAACTTGATGCAGGACACCACAGCAAAACTTTAAGTGTCAGCAACAAAACAAGATTTCAATAAGATAAGGTTTCCTGGGTACATTAGCCATCTAGAAGCAACCAAAAATGCTTAACTTGTTCATCAGTGCAATAAACAGACACAGGGAAATTAAAATAAATTATCCATCAATGAATATTTCTGTATGGTTTGGTAGGTGGAAGCTTACATAAAAGGGTGTTTAACTAAGAGTACAGAAGGTTTCCATAATGATCTGGTCACAGCAAAGGCTGGGTTGATTATGAAAAGAAAGAAAAACATACCTACTGCTAACCCCTATTTTAATATTACAGCAAATCAAGTCCACATCATGACATGGTAAGATCATGTAATTGTATTAATTTTTTCTCAAAATAACCATGTTCAACTAAACACTTATACAAACTTCTGATCTTAATTATATCAAACTGATAACCATTTCTGACAAAAATTACCAATAATTTCACAACTTTGCAAGTTCACTAACATCTTGAATCCATTAACTATATCAAGGCAATTACAAGTCTGCTTCCTCTCTTTGCAACTTGGTTGTAATATTTTCCTACCAGTGGTTCAGACATATTAACATACCCCCCCCCCAAAATGAATAGAATTAAACAATGACTGAAATTACGGTCACCTTTAGAGTGGACTGCAAATTCTATTACTTGTGCTATTTCCCCCCTTTTTTCCAACTTAGTGGTTCTATTTATTCCAAAACATGACTAAAAATTTACAATAATGTAAAATTTTTGCAAGCCTATATAGAGAATATTTGTTCTTCTCATTCTGAAAAAAGTTACATTTTATCTTTTTTTTTGTATGTAATAATTGCTACAAATAGCTAACTTTGTGTGAAAACAGATTATCTACAAGTCATTATTTTTGAAACATAATCCTATGGTTCCCTAAATCTCCTAGACCACATTGGAACTGTTTCACTTCAACCTACTTACATTGCAAGTAGATTACATAACTCTCAAATTTCATTCCAAAAATAAAACTGGTGGAAGAAATTGTTTGAAACTTGAGATTCTGAATGGTTCAAATGCAAGGTGATTTTCATGTTAAGTATAAAAATACTTTTTTTTCTACCTTACTTTTCAAATTCTATATACATAAACTCTTATAAACTCCTAAATGAATATCAAACAGATATTTTTTTTGGGTAAATGTTTATATTGTCATTTTCTCTATCATATCTCTAAGTGCAGCTATTATCATCAACATACAGTCCAATGAGATGTTTAAAATTAAGAAACAAAAATATGTATATACCTTTTAACTTTTCATGAAATAATCTTAAAATATCTTCTTTTGGTGATGTTCGTGATATTCACAAACTGGGGCAAAGTTTGGGTTATATCAAAAATTACTATATCTTTCAAATATGAATTTTAAAACATAAATAATACATAATTAATTGAAATATAAAAGTAAAACCTAAATACAATTTGACTGTTTATCTTACTAATATGTATCTCGGTGAGAGACAGTGCTAAATGATAGCGAGGACGGACGAAATCAGAAAACAATGCTTCAGCCGTTTGATGCACTTGGTAACATATATTATGTGCCAGTTTTAAAATAACATTTGCGAGATTGTAGTTTAAAATGAGTTTTTCCTTTGGTTATAAAGATGTCAATCAAATAAGTACCTGGTGGTTGAAATAAATTCAAAAAAGATAGACAAGGCTACTGTCAGAGGGTGAGGAAATGTATTTTTCTCTGATTTCTGTCTTTGCAATGGAATTTGAACTAAGAATGCCTAAACAGCATTGTACCTGTAGATTCAGTCTAGACATACATGTAAGTTGTAAATGAATTATTATTCTTTTGAAATAAAGGAATTGAAACTTACATAATATAAAACTTTAAATTATAACATACATGGTAATGCTAATTTCATTAGATTACATTGATAATAAAGTTGTTTAATAAAATTTTGAATGTGACTTTTGCAGAAAGAAGTTTAAAAGAGTGAGATTGAAGTGAAAGAGTTAAGTGGTGCTAAAGTTCCTTGCCCTATTAGTGGTCTGGTAAAATTTCTTAAATTAGGCTTATCTGAGATAAAAGTAATAAAAACAGACACAAGAAAATGTTTTAAACCACCATATACAGATGTTTTAACAAAGTAATGTACACTGACTTAATTTTTTTTTTCTGATAAAGTGACAACTGAATTATATAAACCAGATAAATGTTATATCCACAGATTTGAAGAGAATTCTTAGATATGGTTCTCTGCTGCTTAGTCAAAGATTATGTTTATTTATTTGTAGTTATGCACAAAGCTACACAATGGGCTATCTGTGCTCTGCCCACCATGGGTATCAAAACCCGGTTTCTAGGGTTGTAAGTCCGCAGACATACCGCTGTGCCACTGGGGGACTGGTCAAAGAAATGCAGAACCAAAACAAACATTCAAGGATCACACTATTCTCTTACTTTGTAAATCCTATAAAGTCTTCATGGTTAGTATTCATGTATGCCAGTTCCACATTGACTAACAGAATCAGCTGCTCTTTTGTCTTCTGTTCTCGTTCACGGATGTGAGTGTTGATGATTCTTTCCGTTTCTTCACGTAGTGCTGGGAATCGACCCATCTGAGCAATTCAATTAATTTTTTATAAATCATGACATAACTCTACATTTAGCTCTAATATATCTCTTCAGAACATTATTATATAAATCACAACATCCTACCGAACTTTCCTTTTAAATGTTAGTTTCATAATTCTAAATATCCATTATCAATTATTATTCATAATCTGAGTTAATAAAAAAAACTTAAAATACTTAATTTTCTGACGTAAAATCTCATTCTTTAAAATACACTGTTCATGTGAGAAACAGAACAGTGTTTTTAAGTTAAACTATTTCTCTACTGTTCAGTAGAATAAGCAATGTCAAGTAATAAATTTGTTTGCACACAGAAAAAAACAAAAAAAAATTAACACACACATAATAATGGCAGAGCAAAGCCGATCCAAGTTCCTTAGTGTTTTTACTATGATATTAGAGCTCCAACAATAAGAAACTCTTGCTGGGGTAGATATCTTAATCTTTTTTCGGCTTGGAGGTTATCACTGATATCACTATTTTTTCTTCTCACAGTAAATATACTTAACCAAATATCATGAAACTTAAACTTCCTAAGTAGTTATCTAGTTTCTGCTTTAAAATATTTCTATAATTTGATTTTGCATCCCTATAATGTTTGAGGATGTAAAATTTTCAAACTTTTTTTTTTTGTGAGTTATTGTCAAGAAAAAAAGATTAAAAATAATATCTTCTGAATTAGATTTTCATTTTTCACTACCAAATAATTTGCATATCTGGTCAGTTTAAATTTAATTATCACTGATTGAAGCAGTCGCAACTTCTGGCTATAAGTCGTATAAAACATGACAAAAAGCGACAGATTGACTGGTGACCAATGATCTCATCTTTCAAAATGGCATCACCTTTACATTTGTCAGCCATTCTTTCATGACTTTTGCCAACATTTTAGTTCAAGATTAATTTATATCTAATAAATGTTCTTTATTTTCAATAAATAAGTTATTTTATTTGTGTGTGTATTAACTAAATTTACCTGATCTTTGTCACATAAGAATATTCCTGTAGCTTTCAAATAGATAGTTTAACTCTTTCAATACAGGGTCAGTCAATGTGATGACCTCGTAACCATCTAATAAATGTTCTTTATTTTCAATAAATAAGTTCTTTTATTTGTGTGTGTATTAACTAAATTTACCTGATCTTTTGTCACACTTTTAACTCTTTCAATATGGGGTCAGTAAATGTGGTTGGTTGGTTGGTTGGTGTTTTATGGCAC